ATCCCAAGATCCACATCTTTTCCGCAATTACAATGAAGTGGCACAATACAGGCAAGTGTCAGTTGAACGCAATGTTTCATTGACACGTTTACAATTTTAAAACAATTTCAAAGCCTACCAGTGCCTCAATCATTTAAATAAAACTAGTGAATTGCCCATCAAGAATGATGGGGGGGTGAGGCAGGGAATGGAGCGCTGTGCTCCACCAGCCCGCATGGCTGCTGCCTCCCAGGAGCAGGAGGGGAAGTTTGCACATGGCCAGCCCCACATTGCCACCCTTCCCTCCCCCACCCCCCAGGTCTGTCTGTCTGTGGAGCACTCTGATTGGTTGTTTCAGTAAGCATTGCGATTGGCTGCTGAGACTACCAATCAGAGTGCTCCCAGATAATTAAAGCCCCTCTCGCTCGCTCAGTAAGCAGGACTGGATTTTAACAACAGCAATAGCACCGGAAACTTCACCCAGTCTCAATCCATGTACTTTTATTCTCCTAATCCTATCTAAACAGGAATTTTCTTATAACAATTCTCTACAGAAAAAGGAAATAAGTAATATTGTTAACTGAAAAGGCTCACCTAATACTTTAATATGGCTGAACTATGTTTTATTATTTATTTTTCTATGTGTTACAACAAAAGGTTAAACAGATTTTAAGGGTGACTGCTTGCCACGGGGTGAAGCAGGTAAACGTCTCTATACTCAAACCCCAAACCTTGTTTAACTGCTTAATGAGTCACTCTCTTGTGCCAACACCTTTGTCTCAATTAATTGATTTATTCAACACCACCTACCTTCTGCCCGCCTTGAAACAGCCATAACACCCACTCTAATCACTAACTTGCTTTTAGTGCACTCCCACCCACACAAAAAAAGATATGGCATTCAATGCGTGTCATTCATTTCCATCACTAGAGTATACTCTTTCATCAAGCTGTGTGTTGCATAATGCATTTCCTCCTAAGATCTGAGTTATGATACATTTTTCATCTCTCAACTGGATTTCTCTTACCTTTCTTAAAAAAAATATACAGTGACTTAACTCCCCTGGATACACTCTAAACATGTTAGTGCTGTTAGAATTTTCCATTCTGCAGTACAGAATATGCAGTACACGTTGTTGCCTTTTATGACATTATTATGCTTTGGAAAATTTGGGGTAGCTCTTACTGTTTATTCAGAACCATAATGCTGGAAAGGACCTCAATGGTTATCTGGTCCAACCCACTGCACAACTGCCGCAATGCTATTCCTATATCTTCCGTCCAGTGCTTATCCAGTGTCTGGTAGAAAACCACCAGTGAAAGTAACTCTGATTTCCCGAGCCAGTTTATTCACTTCCTTACTTTCTAACAGCAAGGATTTTTTCCCTATGCTCTAAATCTGCTTTACAGTTATTTAAATCCAATGATTCATGAGTCACCCTCTGCAGCAAGGGAAAACAGTTTTTCTCCTACTTTAAGAGGCATAGCACCTTTAAGAAACTGGAAGCAATTTACATAGCCTTTCAAATATTTGAAGACTGCTATAATGTCTCTCCTTTAATCACTTTTTCTCCACATTAAACACTGCTAGATCTCTCTACCTTTCACACTGGTTAAAATTAGGGTTGTAGGATAATCACAGTTAACTTACACAAGTAACACAAAAAAGAAAACAAATTAAACACATTAATATTTTTAATCGCGTTAAATTAGGCACATCATTTTGAGCGAATGGACCAGCTCTGGACCAGTTGGAACCTTTGTGCACAGCCCCAATCATAGCTTGCCCCATGCCTGCTCCAGACTCACCTGCCCATGCTGAGAGGCAGCAGCGGCTGGACAGAAACTGCTACTAGGCACCAGGGAGGGGCGGCAGGAAGCCGCCCCTCTCCTTCACCGCTGCCAAGCCTTCCTTGCTGCAGCTGCCCAGAACCTATGCCCAGGTTGCCCTGCAGCTCCTCTCTGTTGATGTCACTGCCACCTCCAGGCCATCCACCAGGGCAGCAGTGGCAGTGCAGAGGAGCCACAGGGCAGTCCCAGCACAGGCTCTGGGCAGCTGCAGCAAGAAGGGCCAGGCAGTGGTGAGGGAGAAGGGCCGCTTTTTCTCCACGCTCAGCAGCAGCTTCTGCCTGGCTGCTGCTGCTGCTCAGCATGGGCAGGTGAGTTTGGAGGAGGCACGGGGCAGGCGAGTGTTGGGGCTGTTCTCACAGGTTCCAGATGGTCTGCTTTGGCCAGGGCAAGTTAGGAGCGAGCACAGGGTAAGACCAGGGTTAGGGCTGGGGCTGTGCACTGTTGGTGGCGTTGGGGAGGAGCCGCAGGGTGCATGGGCCCCAAGCTATTGGGCAGGAGGGTGCTGACTATTGTTTAACTGTGTGGTTAAAATTGTAATTAATTGCAACTATTTTTAATCATTTGTCAGCCCCAGTTAAAATACATTCAAAAAGGGGGAGAGAGGGGAATAAAAAGGAGTAAAAATCCTCTTGGAGCTCAAAAAAAACAAGGGGAAGGAAATGATTAAGTGAGTAACTTCATAATATATGTGTATATACAGTTTCTGCCCCATAATAGGGAATTAGGTAAAAGGACATGGTTGACAGGTTTTGTTCAAAAACAATCAAACCCAGAAAAATACAGAAAAAAAAATTCCCTGCCGTGTCAAGTTGGTAAGTACCAGTAATCACTCCAACAGTTTGTTGCAACGTGACAAACATTATATTCCTTCCTACTCTGTGAAATTTCCTCCTCCTTTGATAGCAGGTAGTAATTGTGCTACTCAAATGTCAGCCTACACACAATATTCTTCATGCAACATTTTAGAAAAAATTATGGTTATTAAAAGGTAGTTTGTGAAAAGAAGTGGATTGCCAAATCACACATCCAAATATACCTCTTAATCTTTAAAGAGTCCAGCAAACTGTATACAGTTTCCCATCCAGTAACCTAACTGAAGGCACCCTCTCCCTCCCTCCTTTTAGAGAAAACATGAAACAGATCTGTATGGAAAAGTAACAAGCCATGAATATGAGCAGAAGCAGAAATTTAGACTCTGCCACAATGCATCCCCAGAGACTATCTAGGCCAGGCTCAGTAAGTCATTTAGCATAAGGTCTCCTTGGACTTGAAGCAACCAAAAGAAAAACAGTTTCTCTAGTTGTGAATCCCTCATTATCCGAGGAAACTACAAGTCTTACAAGCTCAGAGCACCAGAAAGCAGGCCTCCGGAGGGCATCAAGGCAGAGTTGTCAGTCCCTAAACAGTCTCTACTTTTTTCACACCAAGCATCCAAAAGGTTGCCAAAGTCTTCCATCTAAAAGATTTCCCATGTAGAAAGATCTAATATAAACACCTTTCATTAACTTTTTAACAGGATCAGCTACGAGGGCTACACTGGTGAAGAAGGCAGAGTTTAGTGGAATTAAGAAAGAGAGCACACATTCTTTTGGCAGCAAAGCAGTCTCAAATACATAGAATACTTAGATTAAACAAATCCATCTAGAACAAAGTCATTCCCAACCTTCAGTTTCTTAGTTGTGCCTCCTCTTCCTTGAACATAAGCAATACAGAGTTATTAATGTACCTTTCAGTCGATGACTTAGAATCTGTTCCAGAATGGCTGCAAAATTATTAAATTCAGGGGAAGAATCATCAATAGTCTCAAAACAGGAACGATCAATCAGAGTCTTGACTGAAAACCTAAAAAAGAACAAGATAATTATCAACTTCAAAGACAGTTTTCTTCCTCCACACTGAAGGGCACAGCATATTATATAGAAAAGGGGTAATGTACACATTCATATCCCATACAGCATGTAACCAAAATAGTTCTCAACCATCTATTGTACAATGAAAAATAACCTAGAAAATACTGTTAATCATCAACTTTAATTATATACTTAAAGTTTTATAGATGTCCTGTCTACACGAAAAAAGATAGTCATATTTCTTCTTTTTTTCCCCATTACTTTGAAAGGAAGTTTGAAATTGCTTACTGAAGATGGAGACTAAGTTCTGTCACCAAAGAACACCCACGTTATGTCCTTTAGTGATCTTAGCCAGAGAGACGGCATTTTCAAAAGAATAACCAGCCTTTTCTCAAAATTCCCTTCATGGAACAAATCAACAGGCGAGACACAAAAGAATATTCCTAGAATATGATATTGACATGTATCACAGACCTGAACAAGGAATCCATCTTTTCATCTCTTAAAAAGAATATGAGCCATCTTCATTAAAGATCTCATTTTATCTCAAAAATTAATTTACTATTAAATCTTCACTCAGACAGACACATTCCCCAAGAATGGAATCTGGCGCTTCAAAAAAATGTTATTAATATAAAGCTGGAGGTAAAGGTGTACTAAATGAGGCCCTTCTCTCAAATCAAAATCACACGGACGTTCAGACACAACTGGTCAATTTTGACAGAATTTAGTTATGCCTGTACTATTCACCTTTCTCCGCCTCAACTGTGAAAGGACAGACTTTAAAACACAGAAGAGTATGAAAGCTATAAGAGTTTGTTCTTATTTCTTCTACCCCTCCAGTACAAGATCTCAGTCTCTTCTTCATTCCTCTCGTAATGCTTGCTCTTCACAGTTTTCACTTAATGCAATATGCATTATTTAACCTGGGGGTCAGCAATGTTTTTGGCAGGAGTGCCAAAATCACCCCAACCTCTACCCACACCTTGACTTGGCATGCTAGAGATGGGAAAGCTGCTAGAGTCCTGATCCTCATTGCTGGCAGTGGCTGCACACGCCTCCAGGATGACAGTGGGGGAAGGGCCATGGTTGCACTGCCTCAGCCTCTTCCCTGCCATGTGCTGCAAGCCACGTGTGAGCCCAGTGCCACCATGGAGCCAGTGCTAGGGCTCTGCATCCCGATGCAGCTATTTGCAACCTCCTGGCTGCCTTTCACAGCCAGCCCAGGCTCTGGACAGATGTAGCAGGCAGCTAGAAGGCTGCAAGCAGCTGTGCCATGCTCCACGATCCTGGCACTGGCTCCATGGTGGTGGCAGCTGCACATGTGCCTCTGGGTGGACAGTGGGGGAAGAGCCAGGGTTGTGCTGCCCCAGGCCCCTTCCTGGCACACACAGCTGCTGCATGGTGCCCAGGCTGTGGAGCCCATGCAGCAGAGCCTCCAGGCTGCTGGCAGAAGCTGCCCGGACTCCAGGTCATCTGTAGCATGCCGAGGAAAATTACCTGCTTTTTTTTTTTTTTTTGCAAGCTTGTAGAATTTGTAGTGTTTGAAGGGAAAACATAGTCAAGGTATAATCCTCCAGCAATATCAGTGCTTAAGTCCCTCCTTATCTTTTTATTAGCCATCAGTAAATAGGAAAGAACTTTCCCACTCAATTCCTTTTTAAGCCTACGTTCAGTGATTTTCACTACAACAATATTACTTTAACAGCAGCAATAAATGAATAGTTTCCTCAAAGCTATCCCACACTTATGAAGTTACAAATAAGAGATACTTCTATTTTAATTCTGGAAGAGTCATAAATACAGAAACAGTATGATGAACTGCCATAAACCCAAACAATAACTCTACCCAGGCGTCTACTTGTATATCCAATCCTCTTGCATGATCAATCCTCTGCTGCAATGTAAAATGGGAAATGAGGCTCCCAGATTCATGGGTGTATACATATATGCATATTCTATATTAATAGTTCAGAATACGTTACTACATATGCCATGCAAAATATTAATAATTATGATCTTTAACATTAACACTTTGAAATGTAGCTGTCACCTGTACCTTAAACTACAAAACAGAGACAGCAAACTCACAGGCACATATTGTTAAGGTATGGCACTAAAGACAGGTTCATTAGCAAATACAGCAATGGTACCCATAGGACGGAAAGAAAAACTGGGAGCATCCCAAAGATACTTAAAATGGAAGGCACTAGTTTTTCCTTGAAAAACTACTGAAACTCAGCAAAAAAAGAAAAGCACAATATACCTATTTTCTTGCATACTGCACCCTCCCCCTGAAAATACACACCTTGTTTTTTTGAAGGCAGAAGGGAGAGGAGTGGGGAGAGATTTTTCGGGCATCGCATCATGGCCTAGAGCTGGCTTTTCCATGAAGAAGCTGTGCCCCTGCCCTCCAGGCAGCAAGCAGACTCCATCCCTGCTTGCTTGCTGTCCTGGAGAAGGGGAGCTAAATTTGCAGCATGGCCTCTACATGCTTTTAGTAAAGCAAAATCATCTTCCCTGCTTAAGACACATACCCCAATCACAAACTGATTAGAAGGGCAGATATGCTGAATCTTTAACCAAGACATCTTTTCTACAAAGAATTCTGTTCAGGATAAAGACTGGACAGCAACCAATGCAAGAGTCCCTAAAAATAAACATAAATAAATAAGAAAATAAATATATGGAAATAAATGCAAACAAAAAGAATCACAAAACCAAAGAGTAAATATGAGGAAACTAAGTTTTAATCTTCCCCATGACAGTTTAAAAAATTGGCACCAACATAAGCACCTGGGGCTCGTAACTTCTCCTGTTAATTTTTAAGACTCTCAGGAATTCTCCAAATTAGTCCGACTTCTCTTTCTTTATTTAAAGACAAAAAAATAAACCCTCACAAAAAAAAAATAATTCTGGTCAGCTCAGAACCAAACGACGGTACAGACCCATCATACTATTTGACTTAATGGCACTATTTTTGCTAAAGTTATTACTACTAGATAGATAGTAATTGTTACTCAATTTGGGAAGAAGATGGCATCCGTTAATAGACATCACAAACGTTGAGGATCAGTTATTTAGTTCTATCAAGTGAGATTCCTCCCATGTTATCCTTAAATGCATGACATTTCTGATCATGTTGTACAGAACTATATAGAGGAAGGTTTAATTCCTTAAACCTCTCCTCAAGTGCTAGGGAAAGAGAGAATGGTAAGTGCTAAAAAATTCTAAGTTTACTCTACATCATATTCAGGGGTTACACCTTTTCAATCTACCACAACGGAGTCCAATTTGTTTCCCCCTTTTTTGTTTGCTCCCTGGTTCATGCCCCTCTATTGTGCTATTAGGCAACTTCGGGCACGAGTCTATGCTACACCTTTGAAAGGCACAAAACGGAACCTACAACCTCTTGCATGGTGAGACCAGCATGTCTTTCGGCCACCTCTGCATCCTCTAATGCTGCGCTCCTTTGAGGGTTAGAGAAGTTGCTATGGTAAAATAATTCTGCAAAAATCACTTCTACCCATCCTCACTCCCTTTCTGGATTCGTTGAGAGAGCTTCATAATACACTTGTGTTCCTCCTCAGTTTTCAGACTGGGGGACTTTTATGTCAAATATATCAAAGATTTTTAAGAGGCCCATTCTGAAACTGGCTGTTTTAGAGCAGCGTTTCTCAACCTGTGGGTTGCAAGCCAAAAGTGGGTCACAAGGATATATGAAAGGGTCACAAACAAACTTTAAAAAAATGGATCAACAAACTTTAAAAATGGATTCTCCTTTAAAGGAGAAAAACGTGGATTTCCTCTTGCAGGGTGGTAGTTCCAACCAGCAAGGGGCTGCTTTGAGCAGGGATGAGTGGGAGGAAAAGTGATCAGGCAGGGGGCACCACATGCATGTGCATGCTTATACATGCACGTAGTAATCAGGCAGCATGGAGAGCAGTTCCCACAACTCCCCACAGGTAAGTCAATGGGATGGGAGGCGGGGGCATAGATGACGCATCAGGAGGTGGGAAGACACAGGCAACACTGCCCACCACTCCACCTCCTCTCTGGGGTACAGCTG